CCATCAGTACTTCGTTGGGCCGCCTCGTGACTCCACGAGATGATGAAAGGTGATGCGAGGAATCTGACACGGCGCTGTTGCCCTTCTGTTGTCTTGTACCAGTCTTGCCCCTCCCCCGTTCTGCCCCCACATTGACTAGTCGCTGACGGCCACAATTCGCACGTTCAGACCCAGATTTTCGGCTGACAGTCCGGTCTTTAAACACTTAAATGTTCAAGAGCAGCTCATTGTTAAACGAATTCTGCCGTTTTGCTGATACTCGCTCCGTGGCTCCGAGCGCCAACAATCATCCCGCGTTCCGAGGCTGTTACATCGCGTTGTTTCCCCGAATCTTCCCAATCACTTCTACTGTCGTGGTAACCTTTACAGTTATGGAAATAGAATTGCAATGTGTTAACATATGAAAGTCACATAAACAATTGATGTAAAGTGAACGATCCGACATTAGATGACTGAATATACACTGCAGTTTCTCTATTAGGACGCTGAGTTATAAAACCTTTCTATATAAGATGTATCAGGCCACACAATGCTTTTCGTAACTCACCGTGAATTAGGTTTTGGTTGCTGCCCCTCTCAGTTGACGATCTCTCAGCTTGCTGTGGTTCCCAGACTGCAGTGAGCCGAGCGTTCCGTTGTGCAGACGTCTCATCTGCTGCGCTCCATTCATAATATTCTTTCCCTGCGAGTTTCAATCTGTCCTCCCCGCATACACGCCCATAGTGTACAATCCTTCCCTGCGGTTGGTTGGAGATCTGTATCTGATTCCTCCTGCGGTGTTGTAAAGTGACGGTGAGGTCCCCTAGGGCGAAACCGAGCATCTCCAGGGGGTGAGCCCAGTTTAAATCCAGTTCCACGGCACCATAATCTATTGCGGGGCGAAGCTTGTCCAGCCCACCGGTGAGGAACGGCCTTGACAAGGGACGGGTGGACCACGGCAAGCTCGGGGTAGACGCACTGTGTGCCTGCAAGGGAGAGAGGAGAAGAAGAGAAGTACAGGGCAAATGTTATTTATCTAGAAACTCCCAAGTGTCTGCCCATAACTTTTATCAGCGGCGCAATCACGTATTTCGCTCAATCAGATCTGGCGCTGCTCCATCTTCTGATTGGCATTAAAAAAATTAGGGCTGGTGGGGCTGCAACTTGGCAGACAATATCACAATACAACGTCAGTCAAGTATGACAGCGTGGCAGCCATGCGTGTCCTGACCACTGACATACATCACGCAGTGATCCCTCCTCATTATACTACGGGGTGTACATGGCATCTCGCTGTCACACAGACCCGGAGCTATCACACAGAACGACTTGATTGAGTAATAGGCCATTTCCCAGGGTCAGTCAAATGACGCAGGACCTTGGCGGGTAAATCTTGTATTAACCATATAGTTTCTAGATACTTCTAGTTTCTTGACTGCAGACAGTAGTAAAGCCGCATGCTCAAAATTCTTATTTGAGACTCTTTCTGCAGACATAAACCTTCTGGTGGACCCTCCAACATGACTGTCCATAAAGGAGGAAATACTCTGCTCCTGACCTTCTCTCTACCTTTCTGATTACACCAACACAGGAACATCACCCCCCCAACATGACCCTCCATAAGGTAGAACATACTGTTTCTGACCCTCTCTCTAACTTTGGGACTGAACTCCCCACTGGAATATCCCCCCCCCCAACATAAACCACCATGAGGAGGTAGATACTCTGCTCCCGACCTTCTATCTACCTTTCTGATTACACCAACACAGGAACATCACACCCTTCATCACGACCCTCCATAAGGTAGAACATACTGTTTCTGACCTTCTCTCTACCTTTGGGACTGAACTCCCCACTGGAATATCACCCCCACCCCCAACATAAACTACCATGAGGAGGTAGATACTCTGCTCCTGACATTCTCTCTACCTTTCTGATTACACCAACACAGGAACATCACACACTCCATCACGACCCTCCATAAGGTAGAACATACTGTTTCTGACCTTCTCTCTACCTTTGGGACTGAACTCCCCACTGGAATATCACCCCCACCCCCAACATAAACTACCATGAGGAGGTAGATACTCTGCTCCTGGCCTTCTCTCTATCTTTCTGACTGAACTCCCCTCTAGAATATTACAACCTTCAAAATGACCCACCATAAGGTAGTAGATACTCTGATAATGGCCTTCACACCCATCAACATGACCCTTCATAAGGTAGAAAACACTTTGCTCCTGATCTCCAGAATCATAGAGCTAGAGGGGGAGGTGATGGGCAGACTTTTTTGACCTCATGGATGGTCATGTTGGAGGTGTGATATCCCGCTGGTGAGTGTAATCAGAAAGGTGGACAGAAGGTCAGGAGGAGAGTGCTTTCTACCATTTGGAGGGTCATGTTGGAGGATGAGATTTCCCGGTGTTGGGTGTAATCAGAAGGTAGATAGAAGGTCAGGAGCAAAGTGTTTTTTACCTTATGGGGGGTCATGTTAGAGGGTGGGAACGGTGGTGAATGTAATCAGAAGGTAGATAGAAGGGTAGGAGCAGAGTGTTTTCTTCCTTATGGAGGGTCATGTTAGAGGGTGTGAATGGTGGTGGATGTTAATCATAAGGTAGATAGAAGGATAGGAGCAGAGTGTTTTCTTCCCTATGAAGGGTCATGTTGGAGGATGAGATATCCCAGTGTTGGGTGTAATCAGAAGGTCGATAGAGGGTCGGGGCAGAGTATTTTACCTTATGGAGGGTCATGTTAGAGGGTGTGTATGGTGGATGTTAATCATAAGGTAGATGGAAGGTTAGAAGCAGAGTGTTTTCTTCCCTATGAAGGGTCATGTTGGAGGATGAGATATCCCGGTGTAGGGTGTAATCAGAAAGGCAGAGAGAAGGTCAGGAGCAATCTTCTTCCTCATGAAGTGATTTCATCTGGAAGCTCCGATATAGTTTACTATGCATATATTTTCTTCCAATAATCTATATAAATGAGGAAATAATGAGGTGGCTCCAGTGACAAAGTTGTCTATTGATGACTTACCACCCTAGATGCAGAGTAATTGTGACCTTACAGCTACACGTACCAGAAATGTGATCTCATTAGGTGAAATCAGGA